ACTTTCCTCCCCCAGTCCTACCTTTCCCCTTTCCTTTTTTCTTTCTCTCTCCATTTCCTTCCATTTTCTTCCCTGGTTCTCCCTCCTTTTATCTATATTTCCTTTTATCTTCAGGAGTAGTAACTATTCACCACTCAGGATTGCATTAGTATTAAGGGATTTGATTTTTCTCTGCTTCAGGAACTGAGTCATTAGTCAGTCTTCCTTTTATTTTGCTATTCATGTAGAGGTGATCAATGCAGGTGTTTTTTTTTCCCTTATATTATTCCCATAAGAAATATGTTTATCTACATGGAACCCCACCAAAAAAGAAAGTGGATCTCTCTATCACCAACTGAGGCATGTCAGTCCCCAATTCCTCATATTGGAAGGCCAACATGAAGCTCCGGGAGAGTTGCCATGTTTACATTTGCTTTCCCACATAATTATGTGAAGATCCTTCGGGTGCACGAGCCACACACTGAAGGCATCTCTAAAATTCCCCAGTCAGTGAACGGTGCTTTTGCTAAACAGACTGTATCCCTATGCACTTTTGTTATTCTTTGTGCACCAATTTTTTTGTCATTTGGTTATGGTATTTAGGCAGACATGTCAAAAGGGAAGAGTATTAGAATTTAGCTTTAATCTCTTTCAGAATCAGAACTGTCACAAACTGACTCAAAAGTTTCTCTCTCTCTTTCTCCTTTTCTCTCTTTTTTTATGCCAGAGTTCAGGTCTCTTCACACGCATTCTTCTTCATGTATCCTCCATGGTAGACTCGATCTTGGTTACCTAGAGAATCATGTCAGCAACGGATACATAATACTGATTTTGTTCTTTCATCAAACTCGGATATTTTGTATAGAAAGGCTAAGACGACAAAAAGAAAAAAAAAAAAAAAAAAAAAAAAAAAAAAGTTCCACCAAGAAGCAACTCTATTTTGGAAAACTATAGTGTTCATCTCTGAATAAGTTTATAAGTTGCTTTTTTTAAGACTTTGCCAGATTTACAGGCTTTGTTTATCATACAGGATATATGATTCACATTCATACAGAGCTTTGTTTGGACTCCTACGTGGGATTCTCAATGCATTTAGAGATGTGCATGTAAAATGTGAAAAGAAGGTAGGGCAATGTATGCTAATCATTATCAACAATTTCTGTCAGTAAATATATTAAATTACTAACCCACAATTACTAATATAACTTTTCATCATAGTTGAAAAGAAAATTACAGTCGCAAAATAGATGACATTAAGGAGAGTGATCAAATAATTTTGTCCTTAGTAACATATTTGAAAAGGCAAGCTCGCATATAGTATTCCTGAAACACGAAGGATTCTGCCTGTTCCTCATTGGAAGGGAACTTAGTTTAGTATAGTATCCTTTGAAATATGTTTGTTAATGCCAGGACTTATATGACATTAATTAGTGTAATATGAATTACTGCTGAAGAAAAATAATTTTCAAGAGGCTGGAAATGGTAACAAGGAATAGTGATAGTGCATTATCAAATATCTATAAGATTGTGAAATTTGGCATTGATGGTTAACAGCGATTTTTTAGGACCTAGAGTTTACTGTGACATATGTATCATAAGGCATTTTTTAACCCATCAGCGACGGGTAAAAATTTTGTCAAGTTTACGTATGTGCCGGCTTGTTGGCGCGCACTGGCAGTTTCCCCTGTTTGCGCCCGGCTCGATCGGTAGTTTGCGAGCGACATATAGCACCTAAAAGCTTTTATTTTTCTAAAATTTTTAAAGATATTAAAATTTTGAAGGTTTACCTTCACTTTAGGTGCCATTGCCTAAAATCTTTACCATATAAATGGAGCCGCTAATAGTGGAGAAAAACAACCTCCATCCGACGAGCCAGTAGCGCTGGAATGGGCATGGCATGATGCCCCCGGCGTTTGGTCCACAACAGCCATGGCATGTACGTACGTGACACCCGGTGCCAATGGGTTAAATTGATATAGTGTACCAAAGAATGCCAAGTCATGTAGATATAAAATGTAAGAAAAAATGGAGATTGAGTACATTTTTATCATGGAGAATCACAACATAACTTCAGAATCTAGATCAGGAGATCTTTATTAGGTTATGGAATTATATTATTCTATTTGTAATTGGGATTATCACCTTTAATAATGATCTGTAAAACTGAAATCCTGAAGTTTAGTTTTGATAGATTACAGATTTACGAATTTAGTTACAGCAGATTGAAGAATGAAGTGCATTGCCCATAATTAGCTGGGGTGGGAAGTTTATTTTTTTATTCTGTTTTTGACTTTTGCATTGTACACACTTTATTTACATCGTCAAGATTTACTACTCTTCTGCTAGCCAACCTTTTCAACAACACGGAATTTAACAAAAGGGTGACTAATCCATGATCTTTAGGATACAAGATTTTATAAGGACCTATTTTGCCAGATGATTTGAAATCAGCTATTTGTTCACTTTGTTGGTGTTCATAATTTCTATTTGCCTGATTTAACCAAAATTTGGAAGGTACATTTGGATGCAGTCTCTACATGAAATGTCCATTATCACTGATGTTTCATTAACAAAGAACTGTGGTAGTGTTATCTGGTAAGCTGCAACTCAGTTTAGTAAAAGTATGAGAGCATTTCTTTTCTTTTTGCTCTTCCTGCTATGTAGCGAGTATGGCAGATCGTAATTCTAAACAGAAATGCTATATTTATTTGAAGATCCCCAACCTGGGTAGCAGAGAGAATGTTGTTCAGCAGTTCCTTTGGGGTGTATCATACTGGGACAGATATTACATGAAATACTGTATGTATAGTCAGATACAAAATTTGCGTTGTGAAATTTGGTCAAGTACCAAACATCAAGTAAATTCTGTTAGGTCCTACATATTGTTACACAGATTTTATTCAATCATCAGACAAAGACAACACAGCTATTGTCATTCACCGTACCTGTCTTGTGTTTATGGGAAGAAGGACAGCTGCAACTTTCTGACTTTTTCGTTGGCCTGTTTTGGGGGAGCTATAGCATGGATCATCTCGTTCTGTGAGTGGCCAGGGCAGTTTATACAGTAGAACCGAGAAGCTGCAAGGTGTGTAATGTCTTTTTTTTTTATGAAACTTTGAAGCTAGTTCACAAATTTGTTGAAACTTCAACTATAATTATTTTTCTAGCCACCAAGGAGACAAGTAGTAAGGCTATATTTCCTCGGTTGATTTCCCTTTTCCTCGATTTTTTAAAAATTTTCTTCTATTTTTAAACTATAGGTATAAAAGTTGTTATTGTTCATGATATTATGATTATGATGATGTTATTGAAAATACTAATAGAAGAGGTGATTTACTCCATGGTGATTAAGGACTTGTGGAAGCACCTGCATGTAAAGACAATTAATAAACATAAAAGACACAGTGAACATGGCACGTATTCTGGTCATCCCATCAGCAGTGGGTTTGATATATGCGAGGAATGACAGAGGGAAGGTCAGTTTTACAAGAATATGTGAAAATCTACAAGCAAGTATTTTAAAAGAATAATTGATTAGCTGAAGCCATGAACAAGTGAAATAAGTCATAGTATGTATAGAGTTATGTAAATTAAGGCACACTTGTCACCCATTCATGCGACCCATGTACACCCTCACCCATAGACACATACTCTCTCTCTTACTCTCTGATACAAACACATACACTATATATATGTATATATATATGTATACATATTTATATATACATATAAGTAGAGCTATATAACAATGGTGAATGTTTGTAATTGTTTGGATTGTCACTCTACCAAAATTAGATACTATAGACCTCAACGGGTGTTGTACAAAAAAGATGCTTGTGTGTGATTCGCTGGGATGTCGCACAAAGCTTGGAATGTGTTCTGTTTAGATCTCCTTTTGACCTCTGTGCTTACATTTTCTCTTCAAGGACTTTCAGATTGTGTAATGCATGATCCTTCTTTTTTGTGGCTGTGTGTGCAATTAACCATCTTTGTGTTTGAAAAGTTTCGCAATGAATCTGTCGCCACCTCCATTACCCTCCCCTCCCTCCCTCCCTGAAGGACACCTCCCTTTTCCCCCCACCCACTGACCCTTCTTTTACCACTTGGAATTTAGGCCCTCGACACATTTTTGAAGAGAGGTAAAGATTTTCAAGTTTTGATACATTTCAGGATAAACTGATGTCTGATGCCCCAATGGGATCAATAGAAATTTCGGACAGTGTGAATGGCAGTAGTTTGACCTCAGAGAATGGCACATTCCTGATATCTGCTCCCGACAGTGAACCACACGGAAAGATGGTGAGTGCATCCTCGCCGGCTCGGTATGAAAACAACGGACCAACAGCGAGTGAACAACTTATTGTATTGGCTTCAGTAAAAGACACACAGAGATAAACAGTAAACAGTAAACAGCAAACACACTACACAGTGGTTCACTTTGTATGGCTGAGTGATTACCTGACCATTGCCTGAAACAAAGTTGGTTTGCTTGATACAGTAAAACCTCCATGATTCAGCAGAGAATGGGCCAAATTATGCCGAAATTCCAGATGCCACATGGTAATGCCTTTTGAATTGGAAATTTAAAAAGGATATGTGTGTGTATGCGTGTAGATATCTTCCTTGTTCGTGTTATGTGTTTTCTTTAAGGGTGTTTGTGTTACTTATTGTAGAATGTTACTGAAAGAGCGTTTTACCTGGAAAAGCCCTAGATGTATTGGAAAAACATACAGCATATACCATTCATATAGGTATATTTTCCTTTGTGTGATGAATAGTACAGTTAAATATACAGCCTCTATTTATCAAAATGAAGTAGCACAGTGAAAGGTCTTCAGACTGGAGAAAAAAAAGGACTAACATATTAGCCGCAAATTATGGAATGCTGAATTATGGAGTTGTTATTGTAACCTTTCTTAATAGTACTAGTAAAGTAATGATAGAACATTGTTTGTAAAGCTAACATTATCATTAAGTTTTGCACAACAAACTAGATAAGCATGGTAGAATTTTAAACAGTATACTGTACACACTATCAGGTATACTCGCAAGTGACTAAATGTTCTGCCTTTCATTTGCCACATAATACTAATATTGGGTTAGTTAGAGAATGCAGAGAATAGGTAAAATAGTCTGTATAGATATTTTCATTTCTATAGTATTCATAGTATTTCTTAGCAGAATACAAGAGAAATTCTTTCTTGTAACAAATGGAATTGACAAAAATTGACTTTGCAAGTGACTAAATGTTCTGCCTCTCATTTGCCACATAATACTAATAGTAAGTTAGTGAATGTAGAGAATACATAAAATAGTATGTAGATATGATTCTCATTTCTATAGTATTCATAGTATTTCTTTGCAGAATACAAGAGACATTCTTGTAACAAATGGAATTGCCTCTATTGACTTTGTTCTTTTCACAAGATCTAGTGACAACAGGAAGTTGAAGTATTGCTTAACTACACCACATTTGTGCACCACAGTGCATGATGTTTTTGCCTAAAAAGCAATTCGTCTGCAAACAACTTTTTTATTGGCTGCAACTACTTTCTTTAACTAAGTTGTAGGAGATATATTGCGCTATTGATATAAAATCAGGATTGTTCACTTACTCTTACTGGAAATAATTAAACCTTGTGTGCTGTTACTTTTTTCTTTCTTTCATTGAAAACACAGCAGACAAGGAGAAGGAGAATTAACAGACCCAGAGAGAAGACTGTGTGTTTTCCTTGAACTGAATGGTGGTTTGGACTTCCATTGTATGATTTTTTTGGCCTACTAACCAATCTGAAATCTCTAATTATGTAATTCTCTTTATTTGCTGCTGTATGTGTGGAGTGTCCCTTCTTTTTCCTCTCTTTCTTTGGTCGAGCACAGTTGATTTTTTTTCTTCTAAGTTGTCAATTATTTGGTTTGTGAGGCTGTATGTTGGAATTAGTTAATGCACTCTTTTGGAGTCTGTTTGCATTTTGTGCTGATTAATGCTTCTGCTTCTTTCATTGCTAGTTGTTTTAAGTGGTCGCTTCTCTTGTATTCACCCACCTTCAATTTATTTCATATATTGAATCTCATATTCGTTTATAGTAAACAGTATAGATAAGAAGGAATACTTTTACAAAGCAAGAGATGTAATGGATACATCTTGGTTAATACATGTGTATTAGAAAAACATGGCATTCCAAGGAAGAGTTAATCAAGGAGTGTCTGTTCCATTTCTTGTGCTATGGAAGTATTCATTCTCATTTATACCTTCTGCAATTGTCATAATTGAACCTCTGTTCTTCACACTCACTGCCTTGTTGGCCTTTCAGAAACAGGACAGTTTGTTCTTTCCCTGTTATCCAAAAACCCTTCTGTATTGTTTTGTTATTTTTCTCCCCAAATCATCATTGACTTTCTTCACCTTCCTTTTCAGCCTGGAGTAATGTTCCCTGAACAAGACCTCAAGAATGACGAAGAAGAGAAGGAAACTGATACCAAAGATCTTTATGAAGACTACGACACAGATGTGCATCATGAGATGTTGACCAACCATTCTCTGGGGGAGGTGGATGAATACGAGACAGAAATAAGTAACTTGCTACCGATTGTAAACTCAACAGAAGCTCAAGAAGAAGAAAACCAGCTCGGCATTTTTACAGGCTTACTTGACATCTCTCTAGAAGATGACTTAACCATGTATATCATCATTGGAGCAGCAGGCCTTCTTCTCTTCATTATCATTGTCATCACATCCATCGTCGTGTACCGCAAAAGATACCCTGTTCGACTTGGGTTAGGGCGCAAATTCGACACTTTCCAGAACCCCATATACGAGAAAACAGTAGTGAGGATGCCCATGCAGGTAGAAGAAACAGAGGTAGGGAGGAAGAAGAGCGATGCAGAAGAAATGAGTGATTGCACAGTGTTAGAATGAGGTGTACTTGTATTCCATGTGAAATAGCCGGATAAGTTTGTGCTTTTAAAGTTGAACGGTATAATGTGATTGATAGTCTAGTCTGGATGAAGCGTTTGTTTTTTTATCATTTTATAGTATTTTCAAATTGAAAGTATTGCAGTATTTGCTTTGGAAAGTGAAAATACAGGTATGGCTTAAAAAGCATCGAGAGAAATGAATTTTATTGAAGGAAAGGTGATTCTGCTGTATTAGCTAGTATTAAGACATTCCCTCTTGGCCTGCAAGAAAAAAAAAGAAAAAGAGTGCAGGAAAGTGTCTTATGGGTCCAATTTAAGTGATACATGCAATTCTTGTCATGTCGTTGGCGATCTCATGCTCCAGGATTTTTCTAATGATAATCAATGATATATTTAGAATTATAATCCGCTTTGTAGTGAATGGAAAAAATACCGCACTTAATAAAGATAATCAAATAGTACACATTGACAAGAATTGCATATGGGCATTTTATATTATGTGCAACATGAAAGTGTATTATTAATTTTTAGGAACATTTTATTTTTTGATACCTGGATTGACCCAAATCTGTTTTGTTACGATTCTTGTGTCCCAAGATAATAATCCTCGTCAGGGAGATATTGACGTCAGAATTAGTCTGATAATGTATGCATGGTAACATTTGTGTACAGGTATGGATGATTTACAGTATCTGCTCCTTTTAGCTGTTATTATCACTGTTCAATTGGAAGTGATATTGGGAAAAGGGATATGGAGTAATCCAGATGTATTCGGACAAAGAGACATTTGAAGTTATTATTTTTAAACTCCTGATAGCATTGCTGATTTTCTTCCATTGGATGACAGCCCATGGAGTAAGGAAGTTTGCATTATTTCAGGAATTAGTTATTACTTTAGGTACATCAACTACAGATTTTACCACCAGTTTTGTAGGCGTGAGTTCTAAGAATAGACCTAAGAATAGACAGATTACTGATCTACACACAGTGCATAACCTGTGTTTAATAAAAGTATCGTAAGTCCTGTTCTGGTATCCTGGCACAGGTTGCAGCTAAATACTATAAGTCGGTATTTATTTAATCTCAACACTATGTATTGCTTACATATCTCTACATTGTGCTAAAGTTTGAAGGTCCAGATGTAGGTTGGGCTGTTGTCTTTACTCACCCTTTGATCACCGGTGCTCGACTAGAGTAAGGTTTTTCATTTGAAATCTCAGTTAGTTTTAGGAACCTATCTATTTTTTTATATGATGTTGCATGGTGCTTTAAGTTTATTAAACTCTGTTTTATTTCAGAGCTGTAGATGGCTGAGAACAAGCTTTGTTTTATATGTTTTTCCTCTATATGTTTATGACCAAATAGTGAATGTGACCAGTGCTGCTATTCCCTTGGATTCTCAAGCTAAACATCTACAGGTACAGCTTTGATGTTCTTTCTTATGTTGGGAATTTTTTGTCTTCATTTTATGCTTCTGGTTCTCAAGGAAAAGTTCGCATTTATCAAAGATTTTCCAAGTACAAATCAAGCTTCGCAAAGATTCCCAAGTACAAATGAAGACAAGTTATTTGCATTTTTCAATAAAAAGAAAGCCGAAGAATCCAACATTACTGTATTATGAATGCAAGTTATTTTCATAGAGTAAGTTTAGCAAAAAAGGGATAAGAAAATTCAAGCTTTGATTTTCTCGTAAATGGAAAGTCACGTAACATTCTGTTTTGTGCCAAAGTTCTGTAAATACACTAGTTTTGTCAATACCTCAGAATGTTGGGATATTTTTTTGTTGTACCTGATTCTATGGGTATTTGACCAAGCACAAATTGTATTTTATGTATAGAATGCAGTGCATCCTTACAGTAAGGAGTCGGGTGGGATTAATGTAGTTAGTCTTTTTTGAAGCATTGAAGAGCACATTATGTTCACTTCCTGCATCGTTGTTGATTAAGGTAATCAGTGCCATGGAAAATCACATTTCACTTTCACAGTTTTATAATGTAACTGCCCTGGTTACAGGATTGCAGCATATATGGAAAAATGGCAGCTTTATGTGATCATGATTTTTTGTTTCTTTCTTTTATAATGGTTAAGTTTGTTTTTTTCCTGTAATTTTTATTTATTTATTTTTTTTCTTTTTCTTGTTCTTGTTCTTTACAGGAAGGAAGCACTGCATAAATAAAAGCAAAACTATAGTGTTGGTTAGATTGCAAAAGAGTAAACCCAAGAGCTGCTAAACATATAAGTATTATATCATGTACACTGTTTTTGAAAATTCATGTATTGCTGATATCTGTTAACCACAGGTATGTATTCTTTTGTAATGCCTCCATATCCATACAGTAGATGCAATTGCCACTCCTCTTTTTTATTATGTACATTTACAACTGCAATGTGTATGAACCCACACTTATTTCTAGTCAAGTAACAAACCATGTGTGCTAATTCTTGGTTCTCTAAACTGTAGCTTACAATTTGCCCTCGCTTGCATATGTGCAGAACCTTGGGGAGGTGTCGTACATTGGCGAGTGATTTTCTCCGGGGTCTGTTGCGTGTTGCTGCCGAGATTCATCCAGGGCAGTTCCGATTTAAGCGAAATTCTTTATTTTTGTGCTACAGATATATAAACCTATATTGAAATTGTCTCATGCCCTGGATCTACCTCTCCCATAGACATCGCTTGCTGATGATATATCCTGATGTAGCTTTTTCATCTGCAATACTGTACTTGTTTTTCATCTTTGTCGTTGTCTTCTAAATTGGAAAAGTCAGAGAAGACTAGAAATACAGTAAAGTTATGATTCAGCCTATTTTTATGTGTCTCTTTTTGTTTTATGTTTTGTTTTGTGTGTGTGTTTTGTTTTTGGTATATTGCTCAGGTTATTGTGATGCAATAATACTCATTGTGGCTCAAGTTAGTAGTGGATTCAGTATTGTAGAATGATCTTTATTTCCCAGCTTTCTACAGTTGTTGAAATAGTAAATAACTAAATATTCTGAATGTGGGCTTGTGTCTTGCACTGTAAATTATTTAGCCTGCAAAAAGAAGACCATATTATACCAACCAGAATATCCAAAATTATTTTAATTAGTAGTTATTTTGCCACTTACTTAAAGAGCATAAATCTGAAAGAGACTATCCACACCATGATTCAAATTATAGTCCTCTCATTCAGTGGCTTTTTGGTTTTGGGTAGCGGGTTATTGATAATCTGAAAGGTCTATTGAGTTTAATGTCGGTATTCTCTGAACGGGAGGATGTGGAAAGGACACGTGACATTTAGCACACGATACACATACATGTACGGAATATATGCCCAATGGTCAGAAATAGAGCTCCGTAGTCTAGAGGGGCGCTTGGCATTTCTTAGGACAAGGGTAAAATTTTCGTTCTCAAGCGACCAGTCTCGCCCCATTCCGTAAGTTTTGTACTCTGCGCTTTCTCTAAGGCGAAATTTTAGTTCGAGTACACGGAGAGTCAAGTTGTTATGAATAGATACACAGACCGTAATGGGAGAGTGGTTGTTTTTACTAAATGTGTTACCAGGGTATTAAAGAATTATGTTGCAGACGCATTATGTATAGATAGAAGGTGAGTGACTTTATGCTAGGATCTCTTTGGTTGTTGTGATAAGCACCGTTGCTTAAAACAAAAAGAAACATTCAGATGGTCTGGGCCGGGTTGGCTGTGGATGTTTTTGGCTGTCATTTTTTTTTGTATCTTTGGTGCATAATTGTTTTGGGACCCCCCATCTTGCTACCGACTACATTTTTATATTTCAGGTTAGGGTCTTCAATTGTCGCAGTATAGTTCAGTGTTGTAATTGTATATATTTTTTTTAATTTTCTCATTAAGAATTTGTTAAGATTATCTCATACCAGTATTATCTTAAGTGTAGTTCAAGGAATACTACTATTAAACTAATATATTCTTTGCCAGCTTTGAATCACCATCAGATTCGAATGTGCGGTGTTATTTATTAATTATTATCTTGTCGAAAATTATGCAGGACTTGCTCTTTATTGACCTGTGCTCTACTAGTTATTGTAACCTCATTTTATTGTTGTTCCGCTTACAAGAATTTATATATTAATATTATTTGTGGCCAGAATTGTGTTGTCTCTTATATTGTTCACATAGATAGACCCAAGATTTCACTAAAAGAAAAGAAAAAATTTATCCTCATATAGCTTATAATTATGTCCTTTTATAATTTATGATTTTAATATGCATAAAATTCAAGGTTGAAATTATAATTATCATTGTTATTATTATTATCATTATTATCTTATTATTAGTATATGTTATTATCATTATTATTATCACACCACACACACATAGTATGTCTTTTATTAGTAGATGTCTACTTGGCATTGGTTTAGAATTATTCATAGGTTTAAAAATATAGGTTAATATATATATTATATATATATATATATATATATATTATATATTATTAATGAGTATAGTATATTAGTTGCTGACTGTGTCGACGATTGTAGTTGATGTAAGGTCGTATCCACCAACGCCTAGTATCTTATAGCTAAGCAATTGTAATTTGCATTGCAGTTTTAAAAAAGAGAAAATTTCATTTGCATTGTATTTTTTAACAACTAGAAATCACAAGCATTTCATATATCACTATGCTAAGTTTTAGGTTTTTATCATGTAGCAAAAAAAAAAAGAAAAAAAAATTAACAAAATTGCAATGTGTCTTGTTCATAGTGAAATGTTGATCATTTTCATGTATGTACATTTCATCAGACATTGTTCATAGATAAAGACGGACAGGTTGGTATATGGCATTGTAGTGAGAAAAAGCAGTTTTCAATGATGAATCCACTCATGGATTATTAATTGTGATGACGAAACCAACTAATAAATCCAGTGACTTCAAAACTGTAATAGGCTTTCCAGTATTTCGTATCATTACTGTATGGAAGCATGTTCATTAGTAAATATTACGCTCATTGATAAGTTGTAGTGAGATTGTGCTCTATTTTTTCTTGGCCTTCTTCTATATTAGTGATGCGTATTCATGATGGATATTTTTTCAAATCTTATTTGAACATAAACTTTTTAAAGAAATGTACAGTCATGTAACTTATTTAGATTAAACACTTGTGCTCAGATAATATGCGCATTTTTGGGTTTAACTTATTCACCAATTTTTCACAGGTTAAACTGGATTCCGAGTAAGCTTGCAAAATTAACGAAGCAATTTCTTGAATCCAAACACTTCCCCTGCCACGCTGTGGGTGAATTTCCACTGCCCGATTAATTCTTGGCCTTTTAAAGTTCGTACCTGCCTTTCCTGGCATTCGATTTTGCGAGCGAATCGCGTGTTTCTGCCAACATTACAAATCGAGGAAATTTTAAATGAAAGTCGATGAGATGCCACATCATGTATTAAACGAGCAAAGTTATTCTTGGTTTTGCCCATGTCTAATATTGCGTGACGTGCAATAATTTCATATGATGGTGCAGAATGAGAATAAAAGGTTTACAGCAATAGGATACCAACGATAGAAATGCAGTAGACCTCCATATATATATATATATATATAGGGTCTAAATATTCGGTTATATAAGTAGAGAGATATTTATT